CTGTAAGTATCTGCGCTTCTGATCAAAGGTTACATCCTCGTTTCGAAATAGGCGCTGCAAGCAACGTCACGTGCGCGACATTCGCACCAGGGCCTAGCTGATTTGAACTGGAAATGCTGCAGTATGTCGAGCCAACTAGCTAGGAAGCATTAGCCATATCGTGCGCAATGCCGTCACACGGAGATAGCGTCCAACATCCTCATCGTCTCGCCCACCATATGCGACATAGAAAGGCTTGATGTATGGGATTACTTGCAAATGTTCCATTTTCAGTTATCGAATCTGCTCTCAGATTTCGGAGGACAACTAGGCTTATGGATGGGAGTCAGTGTTATTACTATTATGGAGGTACTGTAGCTCTTTACCACTTGTGAAGCCGTATTACCTTCAAACTGAGCTTTTCAGGTATTTATTCTGATATTCGACGTCTTCTTGACGATTTTCGGGCTGACAGTTGGCCCTAAGAAAGCTTACTCCACTGAGCCATCGATGAAAAAGTCCATTCGCTTGAAGAAAAGAAAGTGCTAGGGACGTTGCCTAGCCAGAAACTGCGCTTCAGAAGTTATCACAAGAATGTTGAATCTCGAGCAGAAGTCTCAACCTCAGGGATAATAAAAGCACTTCAATGGTGACGCCTTGTGAAACAATTTTTCAGTGTGATTTGTGGCTATGCTATTTTTCATTATTTCAACTTTCACAGGAAAATCAGTTAAACTGTAAAGGGAAACAGTAGAAACCGCCAAACCTAACTAGCATTTTATTTGTTACTTCCGCGCCAAATCAATTAGATCCTAATGTGAGTTCCGTGCACGGGACCCCTTCCGCCGCCGATGGGATCACGCGCAGCTCCCTCGCACAGGACTCCAACAACCCCCTTTGAAAAGTGATCTACTTCAAACTACTACCATTATTTATTTATTTTATTTATTCGTTGACCGCCCAAGAGCACAATCAATCCATAAAACTGTTGTTTGTTTGTTTTGTAGTACGTACAGCAGAGGCTTGCCCGAAAGACGCCAGCTTAAAAGCACGGTCCGGCGATAAGGTATCGAAGTTGAAAATATGGTGTCAGGAGGTTGGAGTGGTCCGCAACGAACAACCTTGTACCGGTTTTTCTGAGGGAGCGGCGCTACAGCGCATATGCTCAGTGTTCCTCCTTTTTTTCCAGTGACTCGTTTAATCGTTGTTCACCTCCAATGCCCGGCTTCCAGTGAAAAACGAGATTGCAGGACGAAAAAGCATGAAAATCGTCACTTGCACGTTCTTAAAGTTCTTATCGGTGGCTTAGTTGTGTATGAGGGCGTATGTGGGATGTAGAGCTAATCGGGCACACAAACTGGGATCAAAATGGGGTTCTATCTAGGGCAAGTGGCATATTTTGTGCTTTCTTCTTCACTGTCGAGTTACTCAACCCTTGCCGTTTATATGGACCTGGGCCCCATAATCCCTATCTAGGGGTGGGGATAATGCGGGGTTCTGACATAAAATGGAAGCAGTCGTGATCATACTCGCTAATATAAATTACGTCATTACGCTGGGTATGTGACTAGACAATCGTAATTCACCATGCTGGTGGGCATCGCGTGCGATCGGCTCCGCGCGCGCAACATGAGATGGTTCCAAGATGGTGGAATGCAAAAACCTGTATACACAAAAATGGCCATAGTTGCTATGAGTCATAGATCTACGTAACCAGGCGTGGTCAAATCGAAGATAATGCAATCAAGCAACAACCGGGACATTAAAGGCGCGGAGCCATTCGAATTGTCTTGACGCCTACCCGTCACACTAATCACTGCCTTGTGTAGTGACTAAGTCCAATACCTCACTACGCCTCAGACTTCGTGCAATGTCAAAAAATTTATTTACAATTCATATCAAATCTTCGAAATGTTGGCAATATGTTAAAACTCTTCATATCCTACAATTTCATAAAACTACAAGGAATGTTTCGACTCTTCTTGAATCTGCTTCCGTACCATGAACACTTTCTCAATACCCTGAATAATCACACGATCACAAATGGACAAGGCAGTACACTCATTAAGATAAGGCACAGTTCTCCGCAATGAGCTCACCTCTTTAAAACAGTTAAAGTTATAGTCGATCAATCCTTGCTTCTCAAAGTTCTCGCCACGTATAACACAGACAAGCGCCAGATGCTTATTCAGTTGACGAAGGAACATTACCTGTCAAAATTGGTATATATTCCACTTTGCTCGCTGCAATATGTCGAGGCGTCGCAGGGGGGGGGGATAAAGGCGTAGCGCAAATTATGGTCGCCTCGCAGCTTCTACCTAATTGGTGGAGAGAACGGGTTGGACTTTGCGCCAAACTGCGCCAGAACTCAGGCCCGGACAACGCTCTCAGCATCCTGCACAGACTCATAAAGGCAACCAATCGAAATGTCGATAAAATAATAAACTTAAAAATAATAACACGATAATATACTCGACATGCCCTAAAATTTGGTAAATGTCAATGTACCTGGTCAGTTTTGAGTCGGATGACAGCATATGAGTTATCGTCAAAAGGGCTTATCACTTCACCATCTTTCTCCTTGGCGCTGAAACAACTAAAATCATTTACAAATCTTTCCAAAGAAAGTTAGCTGCATCAAAACATATGAGGAAAAGTTATCGATATAAAACTATACAGAACCCTCGCAGTCCTATAGCCGCTGGACCTACTCCAATAAGGTGGTACATTTTGGCGCATGGCACGCAATGTATTCAGAAAAAGCCTCTGGCTCAAATAAGGTATAGCAGTTTAGCTGCGGATGAATGGGAGTGTCTTGGGGGATGACTGACACAGCGCCAAACCCTTTCTCCCCCGTCGCTGGTAAGCGAAAAAAAACTGGTGGAAAACGACTGAAGCAAACGATAAGATACAGTCTTGTCGTTTGCTCGCTTCAACAGCAGGTGGAAAGCGAGTACGGCGCCAACGCCTAGTCGTCCGCAGCGAAACTGCGACTCACCACCAGTTCTCGAGCTCTTCCTCTAGGCAAAAAAACTTCATTCAATCCGGTACACAATCATTTCTATTCAACTTGCAGCAGCTAATGCTATATTTTACTTCAGTAACATCCAAATCATTTTTTCCTGTTCACAAAGCTTGGAAAAATCCGCCAATTTCTAGAATTCTAGTTTCGTCGGTAACTGGTACGTAGGATAACAAAAACTCCAAATGCCCATGGTTTTAACGGGCCGCATAAAGGATTAGGAAAACCATTACATAGCTGAGTATTGGGACTAATAACCACCAAATTACTAGAGGGATTAAAAGGCATTGGGCAGCACATGGACGTAGCCCATGCAGCAGAGGAACCGATTATAAAGATACTTCCACCTTATAGCTTGCTAACGTCGCACTCTGGGGAGAGTGTTGGGAGGGGTGGAACGAGCCCACGTGCAGCGTTTTAATCACTGGCTGTTCTCTAACAGTACTAATCACTATTATTATCTATATCTATTAACCTCCTGACATTGTCCCGTCGGACTACGCCTGTATGAAGTAAGCTCTCAAGTACTGGGGACATGTGGGTTATTAGCAAAATGACCGTCAAACGTAGACATCACGACAAAGCCGCCTAATCTGACAGCTAAAGTAAATCACATGGCACACAGTCGCACAGTGTTCGCTGCCGATGTTGCGGCGTGGCAGCGGATTGGATACAGGGTGCAGAGGTTAGGAGGGTACGCGCTGCATCTAATTTTATATGGTGACCGTCTATTCGTTTCTACATGTTAGACTTGGCAACTATTGAACAACTGGCAGAACTACTGGCACTGCGCCAAACCCAACCCTTGACAACTTCAGCATCAGTAGCGAACAAGTCTGAACGAAAGCGTAGTACGAAGTGAATAAGGAGCCCTACGCATCGAAATCACGTCGTGATGTTATATAGTTAACTTGTTACAAATCGCAAACTTCATGAATGGATTTCCCGGAAGGAGGAAGCTGTTTATTCTTGTATATAGTACATTATGAGTATGGGAGTAAATAGGAAATTATAGAACGAACCCATAGATTCCAGATATGTCGATAGTAACATCAATCATATCGCAACATAGCTCATAGGCTGCCATTTCCACCGGAGTTGTGTCGGTGGCTATATAAATCTTTGAAGCTACATCGAATAAAAACGACTTTTCGACGTTTGAACCCTGCAATGGGAGAACGATACAACTGGGTTAGAGCGAGTATTTTTCAGCATCAGAAATGCACAAATTCTCGGTAGGAATTCATCACAGACAATGATAAATGAATTTTTGATCATAACCAGCCATTAGTACAGCAGATGTGTTGAACTAAATCATGTCAATTTTTGTGAGACCGGCATATAATGCAGACTAGGCAGGGCACGAAAATGAGGCCTTTTAGAGGAAATAGAATCG